TAGGAGATAACATGAAATGACACGAGGCTATATTAGGTTGAGTAATACTGGGATGGTGGATTAGATTAAAATATGACTAATAAAAAAATAAAATCCAAACACAACAAAACATTCTCATTGCTTTTACTAGTATTCCTTCTTGGAATTCAAAGATGCTTACAAATCTGGATGGTCACAGCTTGAATCTAAATTTTAAAATCCTACTATTGTTCAAGACATTTAGAACACCTTAATTATCAGCTACCATTTATGCACACTCTACAAAGTAGCAAGGTTTAAGACAGACAGCATCAGAGATGGAGGATCATTCACAAGTATTCACCTCCAAAAAGCATCTGTGATAGCTGAAATGAGCAAACTGCTTTATGATCTCTGATACAAACCAGAAGAATTTTCTATTCCTGCTGTACCCAGTTTATGACAGGAGCTTCAAAAACACTGACAAACCATTTGTGGATCTTTAATCCCTCTATGGATTTACCACTTGATCTAGCAGGTGGTGTCTGAGAAAAACCTTTACTAAGTTGCAGTGACCTCCAGAGCCACCAAGCAGCCTACAGACAAGACAAAAATAGTACTTGCTGTGGTCTTTGAAAGTTGATAATCAAATATTACACTACAGTAGGCAGATATGAAATGGGTCATTATCATAACTAGAGGAAAAGAGAAAAGCAATGTGTTAAATATACATTTTGATTAGTGAATAAACACTTTTGAGTCTGCAGCTCCCTATGAAACCTTGTATTTTGTTATTTTTTAAATAGAAGTTACAAGTATTTTGTGCTGGATGCCAGAGGTTTAATAAAACTACTGTCATACAAAATGATGTCTGTTTCCAAAGACTTCTAAGGAAAAAATAATCCTCATCCAAGTCCAATAAACTGTGTGCACACAAAATACTCTACCATACGTTTACTGCAGTGGCTTTCAAAATATTTCAAATTAAGCCTTGAGTTAAATTCATATGCTGTCAATACAGCTTACTCAGAATGAACATATGTAAGTCCACTATTTTTATCTTGTTTACTGCATTTGTAATACATTTATACACCCCTATATGTGTGATGATTACAAGGACAACATATGGGACTTAAAATCGTCACTTCACAGGACAATGGATGCAACAAGTAAAATTATATCATCAGTATCTATGATCTTCTGCTTACATTTAACTTTTCTGTAAATATTGGTGGTCATTATCTAAATGTTCTTACAATATGTTCTAACAATAATTCTACCATCTGCTTTCTTTACATTTTGTATTAACAAAGTCATAGATATTCTAGTACCTAAAATAGGTTAGCAATACATTTTATAAAATGGGTTTCAGACATATAAAATGCATGTATCAATATAATGGCTGTGCTGTAATCTTGCAAAGTTACTATTAAGGGGTATTTTCAAATACTTCTACAACTTTCATTAGAGTATGCTCATGTTAACTCCTAGCATAGCTTGGCATGAAAGCCCTTAAGGATTAGAAAATGCTAAATTGTAAATAACTATAAAGTTCAAGGTGATTACAATACCAACATAGAAATATGAGGAAGTGCAAATATTACTGATTTACATTAAGTTGCACTTGTAATAGTTGAAAATACTGGTTTCTGTGATCTGGGATTAAATTAGTAAAGTAGAAATTATTTTCAGCATTGTGACGCCTAACTTGTAATTGATCTGTTATAATGGAAAATAAAATTCCAAGTCAGATGTCCAGATTCTCTACAAAACATGTAAGAACATGTGAGAATGGGATTCACAAAGCCCAGTACACAAAGTGCAAAGTCACCTGAACTAACCCACAACCTCAATCACTTCAGATTCATATGTCCAGAACACACAATCTCAAACATCTACTTGAGATGTGTTAAAACTATACCTAGCCTAGCTGAAGAAACCAAACAGCCTGAAAAGAGCAACTCGGGTGCCTGCTGTTTTACACCTAGTGTCCCAGTGCTTAACATACCTGAATGAAACACAATACATATTATCTAAAATCCTTCTGTCATCTTGACTCTTCACTGGTCACAAATATGTGACAGCTACAGGACTTCCATAAACTCTTGTTACTGAAGCAATTCAATTTTATATCAAATAATCATGTACTTCTTAATCTATAAAGCAAATTAAAATGAATGTATAACACAGCTGCTAGGCTATTCCCATGACAGTCTCATGATTCTGACTTTCTTACAGAAAGAATAGTACAGGGATGTCAAACCAAGAATGTTGAAGATTTTTTATGTACAGCAATTTAGTACCATCACTGACTAATTTGGTGGTTTTCAGTTCGCTCACAAATGGAACACGGGTACTTAAGTGACTCAACTAGTTACAAATTAGGCATTTCCATTGCTAAATTGCAGCTGAGCAGGTGAGGAATCATACTTCAAAGGAACCTAGCCCCTTTGAAGACTGAGGCCCTTGAGTTTGTTTGATGTATATTCATCTTACTACCTTTCTAAAGCTCACTAATTCAAACATCATTTAAACTTACTAAATCTCCACAAATAAAACATCAAGACAGGCTGCTAATTATTAATTACTTATTGTTAGAAAAATCATTTGCATGATTTTATGCCAACTAGCACTCTCTCAAACAAATCCAATCTACAGAAGTATTCCCAATGGATAGTTTGTATACAGACAGCCTGTTTTGGAAGCTAAGATTCTTGTAATACGGGCATGAGCCTTAACCTCAGAAAACAGTCCACAGATCTTTAATTTGCTAGTATAAATGTAGCCAACAAATGCAAATGAGTTACATGGATTAACTGCAGATTGAGTTACAGGATTAGTTTCATGGCATTGTGGCCATGCCTTCAATATATGCAGAACACAATGCTGCAGTGAACCTTTGTTGTATAGCAGCTGTTTTAACTTCTGGCAATCCTCCCAGATCTTTGGTCCACGTTCCCTTCCCCTCTTTGCAACATGCCTTTTGCTCTTAATTCTTCTTGCAGTACATACTATCTGCAAAGATTTAGCCTACAAGGAGTGGCTAGAAATTGAATTTTCTACACCAGAATTAGGTTTACAAGGATTTTTGTATCTCAGTGGCACAGGTGGAATTGGTAAAAAGTAACATGAGTAAGCTGATTAACTAGTCTAAAGTGCCCAGAGAAATCATTAACCACAATAAGGCACAAAAATATGATCTTCCCAACATGAAGCAGCTGGGAGCTTATGTGTACTCCCATTTCTAAAAATTACTGTTTTATATAACACTAATTCTTGGCCCCTTCAAAGTGTACAATGGTCTTGTGACCCCAGTTTTATCATGGTTAGTTATAAAAAATGTGATTAATTTTCCAGTTTTGTTGAGGTTACTAAACATTCCTGGTAGGCCAGTGTGACACTGTACATAAAAACCGATTCATATAACACAAAACCACCCTACTTTGGAAGATCCTTTGTTTTATTTTTTCCTGCCAGTTTCAGTATTTGATTCATAATGTTGCACTAGAATGCAGTGATTTGCTTTCTATCATAATCCTTAACATCTAGACATCTGTTCGCCATAGGCATTGCAGTAGTACTGCAAAGAGTTGTACATCTGTTCTCTGAGGAGAGCAATGGTCAAGGTCTGCATCTGTATTTATAAACAGAATTCTAGACAGAAGTCTTGTACCCGAATCTGTGCTAAAATCTACTTTAAGTGATGCTCACACATATAAACATTAATATGAGAAAGGTATTTCCTCTAAGAAATTGTTATTTTTAGAGTTAACTCCATGACCATCTCTGTTGAGGCGTATGTATATTAAGAAGATTTTCTCTACAGCTTGTAGATCTTTATTGCAAAATTGATTTTTTTCAGATTTTTAATATTATAATATTCTAGAATTATATAAAGACTATTTACGTCACATTTTCTTCATGAGAGGTAACTTGGCACCGATAAAAACTAGCACTAAAACTATGTAATTAGTAACCATGTACAATAATTATGCATTTAAATCAGCAGGTATAAGTTACAGTTCTACTTTTATCTAGTGATTCAACTAGCTGCCTAATATTAGGTATCTAACCAAACACAGTGGGAAAAGGAATGCTTACAAACTGGAAATTCTGTCAGGTTCTGATAGGAATTCCATCAGTTATAATGCCTGAGTAAAACACTGGGGGGCAAATTGCCATTTTCATATTGTACGCCTGTGAGGTAACTAAATTCACCTACCACGTATGCTGGTGTGAGTACAAGCAATCCACAGACCAAAGCTGTGGCTCTGAGGAACTGTTCAGATAGAACATAGGTGTTAGGCTACAAGCAGGGCCAATCTGCTGGTGCTGCACATAGTGTACAGAAGCCAACTCAGAAAAAAAGCCTTGTGGATCTCAAGAGTTGGAGTACTCCATACTACACAGATTATGAACGTTCACGGCAAAGGGCTACATGTTGGCATTTATTAAATCAAATGAGCCAGTTTTCTTCTACTATGAACCTTGCACAAGGTCAGAAGGGTTGACTTCTAAGCCATATGATTTGCAATGTGGTCAGTACACCCAAGACTTTTGTGAACCTGGAGCTGCTGTCCTGACTTACCCTAAAGACTGATGGTGGAAGGTAGAGCAAAGTGAAACTCTGAATTTCTCCTCTAAAATTTTTTCTTTTAGTCAAAATCAAAAGTAAAAAGATCTCACAAATCATAAACCATTACTTCAGGAAGGTAAAAGTAACATTACTACAAGACAGGATTTCAAGTTCATTCTAATGTTATCAAAAGCATTTCTGTAACATTTACTGTGAAAAATGTGTCAGACATTTTCTGATTAAAAACTGCTAAGAAATGTTTCACCAGCCCTACCAGAAATTAAACACACAGCTTAGCTCGTTTACTTTTAATCTCCAGTGAAGGCTCCTGGAATTTAACATTCATGGAAGCTTCACAAACGTTTAGATTAGGCCTACAAACAGAACAAAAGCTAAGGTACACGACACTTAACAGTTGTCATTTTAACACGTCTTTATCATTCTTAATTATTATACCATCAGGTACCTGTTTTTGTTGTACCCGAAGCCGCTGCTCAGGTGCCGTCCTCAGGGTCCGTGAGCCCTATCCCCCTAAGGCGAGGCAGGTCGAATCCTGTCTGCCCCAGTCCGGTCCCAGCTGGCTCCAGCCGGTTCTAACGGCTCCAACGGCTCCGCAGCGGGGCACCGCCTAGCCCCTCAGCCAAGGGCGCCGCGCGCGAGGCGTTCGCCCGCGGCTGAAGACGGGTAGGCGCTGAGGGGACAAGGGTGAGGAACGGCCCGGCCAGCCCTGAGGGCAGAGCGGCAGGACGGGCTCTGCGGAGATTCCCTGCCGGAGGGAACGGGTGGAGAGCTCCCGAGGGAGCTGCGGCCTGCGCGGAGCCCGCGATGGAGCGGCGGGAGAGGACAGGAGCCATCGGGGAGCACCGCAGCCGCCATGTTCTGCCACCCCTCGGAAAGGAGGGGAACAGGTAAAGGAATCGGGAATTGAAGAGGTGGGGTGGGTGCGAAAAAGGTGTTTTAGGTTTTGTTTCCCCATCTATTTATTAATAGGAGATAAATTGAATTAATAATCCACACGTGTAGTCTGTTTTGCCAGTGATGGTGGTTGGTAAGTGATATCCCTGGTTTCACCTAGACCCACAGGTTGCTTAACTTTACTTTCTCCCCCTGGCCTCCTGAGGAGGAGTGAGAGCAGCTGGGTGCATGTTTGGCAGCTGTGTGGAGTCAACCACCACACTTGGAAGCAAATCTTTGACAGAAATGTTGTGGCAAGCAGAAGAGTAGCTCAGAAACTGATCAGCACATGAATTCCTTTCTTGTTCAAACCTCTTCCCTTAATTTTTCTATCATTATGTCTCTTTCTGTCTTGTAACTTGCATTACAGATGGTATTGTTTGTTGGTTTAATGCACCTGTTTGTTTTGTGGAGGTTTATGGGGAACATGTGTGTGCAATAATGTCATTGTGGGTGCGTGTTTGGGTGGAACCACCAGTGAGTTGGTGGTAAGCATGTGGCTGGCTATGTAACATGGCTGACTTCATGATAGCTCTGTATGCACATGGGTCTTGCTTTACCACTGGAGGAATTAATTTGATGCTCTTATAAAGTAAAAGTAGACCTCTTCTGTTATAAGAACTTGAGCTTTCACATTCACATTCTTTAATACATCCACAATAAAAATACAGCACATTCTTCATTATGTTTTGGCAAGGTAAGTCTCATATAAAAGTCCTGTTGCAATTGCTCCTATGAACAAATGTAATCCATAACCAGTTCAAATTTGAATTGCACTGATCCATTTACACGGCCTTTAGAACAAAACAGTAATGGTTTCAACTGACCTGGCTTCAAGGGCTCCATCATATCTGCTATTACACAGTTTAAAGAAAGCAAAGAAAAGATGATGACCTCAGAGCAATTAGTTCAGATCATCTATAAATGCTCTGAGAGATAAAAAAAGAAGTCTTGCTAAATTAATATAACTAAGGTTGTGAGAAAAAACTATTTTTCAATATTTGTGTGGGGCTTGTATTACCTGAAATACATGCTATGCCTACCCCGATTAGTCCTTACGTATTTATGGAATTAAATTTTCTTGTTACCATGTGAGACAGAACAAATTACATAAAAAGCATGTGGAAATCTGAGTAACCATTGTAGGTGAAAGACTACAGACAAACTACTATTAAATATACACAAAAACCAAGCCGGGTGATAAAGGTGAAGTGTTTTTACTTAACAATGCAGCAACAGAAAAGAGGAAATTTAAGAGCAAAGGTTTATGAAAAATAATTTAAAAATCCGTGAAGGATACTCTGTAAGAAACTTGTTCATCAATCGGTAATTTTATGCATCCTTACGTGTATGTAGTAAAACAACAACACAAGAGAATAAGGATAACTGCAGAACCTAAAGAGCCTGAAATGCAAGCAAACCTTACTTTGCTTATATCACTTGGAGAGTCATGTAATGTGAAGGACGTGCTACCTACCCCAGTTATTTTTGGAAGACTCCTATAGTTCGTACATTAAAGTTGCCTTGAAGGAGCAGGAAAATAGGGCACTAACATAAGAATAGATTCTTCAAGTCTGACAGATCCCAGTACTATGGGCAAGATTTCTGTGTGCTTGTCAGTTCACGTCTGCCAGGGCTGTGAGTTTGGGCATTCCTAGACTGTGTTAGGACATTTCCAGCAAGCTGAGACAATTCAGCGCACACCTTGATCTAGGCTTAACACTGATGAGTAAGGGTATTTATTCTTTCTTTGTGGTACACAAGATGAGTTTTCAGTCCAGGCAAGACATAAGGGAAGTTACCTTTACAATCTTATTTAGATTAGTTACGGGATTGAGCCAGCAAAAGACATTAGAAGAAAAGTCTGAAGCATAACTCATCAGCAAGCTGACATTGTAGCTGACTAGAAACATACTGCATCAAATAAGAAAGACTGTTAACTTCCCACAGGGGCAAAACCACGATTGTTTTACTGTCCTTGTACTGATAAAACTATGCCATTGTGTAAATATTGGAGTACATACAGAAATGTTAACAAATTTTTACTCTGTCCAGGCCTTCCATTCATTTAATGTACAAAATACCATGTAAATAGAGGTTATCAAGTGTGACAATTATAATTCCCAGGTCCCACACTCAACTAAAACCGCAAGCATAAGGAAAGAGGGAAGAAGATGCTCACAAACATTAGCCATAATGCTCACTTATTTCTTCAAGAACTTCAAAAATGGACAGAGGAAAAATGATGCAATACTGATGCATAAGCTTATGGAATTTACTGCTGTTCACATTACTAAGTTCCACTATACATTTTGGGAAAGTGATCATCAAACTTTCTATCCCCAGAAAACATCTCTTTTTCTTCCTGCTTCCAGCTGGGAAAAAAAAGTTATCTGGGTTTTAGAAGACATTCCAGCTCCAGCCTGGTTATTTGCTATTCCCAGTTCTATCACTGCCTCTTCCATATCAGAAGAAACAAAGATGCATCCTTCATCAAATATTACCCTCCTTTGAAAAACATTTCGATTGACAAATTGGAATTTTTGGGTGGGAAGGAAATTTTGGTAAAAATATATCAGCTTTAAATAAAGGAAGGCATTCAGACAAGCTGAACTCATAGTTTGTTAAATATACAAAACATTCAAATAATATTTCCAGGATTTCAGAAATTCTTCATAAGTTCAAATAAGTATTTTCAAAATAGCACAAATTCTTCACTATAAAAATATTTGGAATAGAGAAGCTTTATAATTTCTATGCAGACAATGGAAAGAGAAATTACAGTTTGAAAAGCTTTGCCAGAAATTGGTGGATTTCCTCATCGTATTCCTACCTCTTTTAGAAACAAAATAAGTTAGAACATACGTAATATGTTCTGCTGTCCATCAAGTTATATAATCAGAATTCCAAACAGTTTTCTTTTGGGGTGAAATATAACAGGAACAATTAGCTATATTTGTTCTACTAACAGAGTAATATCCCTGTAAGGTTGAAGGAAGAGGGAAACCACTGAAACACTGTAACTACTGGGCTTGTGTGACTTAATGTGAAAAGAGAAACGGATCAACAGAAGTGATGAAAGGCTAAGTTCAGCTTGGCAAGTGCCGTTTTTTAAACACATAATTAGGTATTAGCTTTACAGCCTAAGTGATCTGCTCTGCAGTTTTGTCCTTACGTGCACTTTCCCATCAGTCCTTTTTGTCACCTCCTGTTCTGCCAGGATCAGTGTATCGATTACTTGGTTTTCAGAGAAAGAAGAAAACAACATGTACATCTAGGAGATTAGCTTTCTTTGTTAAGAAACAACTTGGTATATAGGTTTAATATAAACACAATTATTCAGGGAGGGCTTTTTCATACCTTTTAAGGAAGTATAATTCAAGAGCGGGTTACATGAAGAACTGTTTCATTTTATTATAAACCAGCTTCTAGGGAGTCATTTTATAATAGTTTACCCATATGCTGCTGTAATCAGTGGCCCAAAGTAGCTGATTTCACACCTGTTTTGGAAAGTGCCAATACATTTCCCAGGGTAATCATCATTATAGTACATATCAGAAGTCAATGTGATGTTTTAACACAGATGTGCAAGTCCAAGAAAAATAAATGTTAGCTTTGGACATTATTACTTCATTAATATTAGCATGACAACAGCAATTTTGAAAGGCAAAACACCCCTATTTTTGCTTTATGGCTCTTGGAATAGTGGGAAAAAATAAACCCTTTAAAAAGACATTTTTGGTTTATGCCAAGTAAAGTATCAACATAGTGGAAAAGTTCCAATAATGACCTTGGTGTATAGACAAAGAGTTTGTTCTCACAGTGTACATCATCTCCTTCTGTATTTAGCAAGATGCTGAAAAGCAAGGAGATAAATATGTTTACTTATGAACAAGTTCATGTTTCTGGTCAGCAGATTAGGAAAAACTGCTGTAACATAGAATGTTACATAGAATGTAATATAGAATGTTCATCCTTAGACCTTGGGTTTTATGTGGCAACTTGGAGATTTAAAAAGTGTGAATGATAATTAAAGGCTTTGTTTGTTCCTCAGTACTGATCACCAAATACCTCATTTCAGTTTTGTCACTTTTTTGCACATAGTGTCTCTCCTGAGCGCTTCTTGCCTGTCAAACATGAACAGCATCTCACCTAAGGAAGCCATATAAAAAAGGCAATGTAACAAACAGCCAACTGCCAAGATTTAGGCTTGGGATTTGTTTCTAGAATCACTACCTAGCTGTGAAAGTTCTCTGATCCCTGTGTGCTGTCTCTAAGCGTTCGCTGCTATTAGGAATAGGATCCTAAGCTAAATATAGCTTCAGTCCAGTGTGGAACAGTTGTTATGATACATATGTATTTATAAACACACGTCTACATGCATGTACAAGAAAAACATTTAAGAAAATACAGATAATATAACAATCTATGGGTTATCTTAGGCAAACATGTTATGTTGGACATTAAAATGTAACAATCTCCCCCAGTGTGATTGTGAGCTCAAAATAAGCAAAAAAGATGCAGGTGGCTTCTTGGGGAGTAAAACAGACCAAATCTTAAGTTCAAAAATAAACCTTTAAAAATCCCAAACAGACAGAAACACAAGCAGCT